TCAGTACTTTATTTTATCAAAGCAAAAAATCAATTTAATCAAATACGATATTATTTGCGAATGATTTTCATATTATGCCAAGGAAGTTTCTCAGTAGTTCGTTTTAGACGAGAAATCAGAGTAAAACGAATAAGAGTAAATAATAAATAAGAGTAAAACGAATTTTTCTTTAAGGAAACGCACCTTGTCCTCATATTGCAATAATAAAATGTCCATACTTCACATTCACACAACTAAATGAATTTAGATACAAACATATAAATGAGACATTAGTTTGAGATGGAATTACAAGATTTGATTGAAGTAGCTCTATTTGTGAACTGTTATAATAATTTTAAAAAATACAGTATTTTTAATCAATGCCCACAGCTAAAACAAAAATTATATCAAATTTCTCTGTTTCTACAGTCATTGTAAGATACCTGTTTAAGTATTTATTCCATGCTAAAAGAAATTATTTGTAAATTAGATGACGCTGAATTCTTTAAAAGTTGTTCATGGATTCTGTGCAAATTTCATTTACTTTTGCAGAAGAAAATTTGTTTCGCAAATTTTTCACATATAGAAAGGTTTGCGTTGAAGGCTTTCCAGTATTTTCCAGTTTCGGCACGAAAATCGCCCTCAGGTCGGCAGATGGTACGGCTGGATTTGATGTTTTTATTTATGACCCTTCCATTGTAACATCTTTCTCTAACAATCGCTGTTTCCCCACTACCAATTAAACACGACAGGAGGTCGGAGGGAACGACAGTACAGAATTTTCCGTCCTCAACGATTTCGAGGCAGAAAAAAAATCGTTTGAAACGTTTCGGATTCATGAAAAGCTGGCAAAATAATCCGTGCTTGACGATTTGGAAAGCCATCTTTTAATACAGAAAAATCCGTTCGTAACGCTCAGAGGGTTAAACTACGAGATCATCAAATGACATTTTAGGTGCACAGATATTTCTTAATATACAGTACAGTTGACACTATAGTTCTGGACAACTTTCTCTATGTGATAACCTTTTGGCACATGGCAATCCAAATCATGGTTAAAGTAAAACATCAGGTGCATGCCAAATTTGGAAATTTTGTTGTTAGAAAATGCTTATTAATCTGTAACCTTATTATTTTTTTTGGATAACCTATATCAACGACATTATAAGGCTATATCTTTTATACAGTTTGAAGTCTTTAATCCGGCCTCGTCTGGACTTTGGCGTTTCCGGATTATAGATCATCAGTTTAAATCTGGTAAGAAGGCATGCAGAAATTATAAAATTAAAAATATGAAACCGTAATTTATGAAATAAAAAGCAATTATGATCAAAAGGGTATCAAAATTTACAAAAAAAAAGGGTTAATATTTGTTTACTTTATTAAACATTTCTTTCAATGCACGCATGAATAAAGCATACATAATGCATAGTCGAAATTAGAAAATTGCCACCAGAAAACTTTGATGTGTATTCAAGATATTTATAATGGCGAGGAATTTGATTTAAATCATATCAAAGACAGAGTACATCGAGATGAAATACTACATTTAGTAAGGAATTATAAGTCGAATAAAATAAAAACATCTGCCCTGAAGATAAGGATAGTGCTGACAGATCAACTTCCAGTTCTTAAGTCTTTTTTCTTGTTTAAGTGCAAAAATAATTTTCATGTAAGTAACCAAAGAAATGTAATATGAACTGCATAACTGCAGGGAAATAAGATTTCTAACAAGTGTTTCTATGGCTTTTCATAGTGTTATGCAAATTTCAAAAAGAGACCAATCAAATAGAATAAGATGAGGTTATTTGAATTTGCCTGTATTTATTCCATGAAAAGTTAAATCCTAAAATATTATTTTTCTGCAATTTGAACACTGTCTACCACAATGGTTTCAAACTGGTGGGCCACGAAGGAATTTGACGTGTTCGGCGAATGTATTTCAGTTATGCATTTATTGCAAATACAACGATGCAAAGATTTCTATTTTTCACTTATTTGAAGTTTCAGTTTATTTTACATTCATTACTATTAAACATGAACATGAGTAACACGTCAGAAAAATCTATAAATGTAAATCTTATCCAACAATTTAAAAATACAAATTTAAATAATTTTTATTCATTTTTTTCCTGTGAAAAAATAAAGAAATGCTCATGTTTTGGCTAATCGTTTAGATTTTTTACTGATATACCCAACTTTTAATCCACGAAATCATCTGGCTGAAGAAATCAGTGAAATATGCTTGACGTAAAAAAAAACAGCAGAGTAAGTATTGTTTAATATTTTATACTAACTTATTAGCATTTGAAAGTCTGATTATCATTTTGTTGCATTTTTAATAATTATATCTGAATATAAATTTGATTACGAGGGTTTAAAAAACTGCTTTTATGATATAGGGTGTCTTTCAGCGGCTGATGGGCAAAATTGTTGCACGATAGTTCGTCTTGGAAACAAGCCACGGCTAACAGACTTCTCTCTCCTTGAGCAAATAGCCTGGGAGTGCTTTTGATATTCTAAATAAACCTAATCGTATTTATACATGGATATAACTAGAAAAAAGACATTTGGTTTGATTAAACAAATGACTTCCATAAGTTAAAAATACATATATATTCGTATTAGAAGTACAATTAATTTATTTAGAGATTAATTCCTGTTTGTTATGGTCAGACTCCCATATATTTAAATATTAAGTAGATACAGTAAAGTCTTTAATCCAGACCTCAAAGCTAGAAACTTTCTGTGCATGTGCGTTTAATGTATAACGGACAGTATAAGCTAGGCTAAACTTATCTAATTATCTATTTCAGTTAATGTTGCAGATTGCGTTGTTCCTTAATCTTCGAATTGGATCTGGCTTATTACTTTTTGCGGACTGTTAGAGCAATTTTATAAAAAGTAAGCTTGAACTTTCGGTTATGTCAAAAAGAGTTTCCAATTCTGGAGCTCCCAAAGGATCTACAAAGCGAAAGCATGTTTCGATGCATCGCTTCCAATAGTGAAGAAAGTGACAGAGAGATTATTGAAAACGAAAAATTTCAATTCACATGTTAGTCAGTATTCTCGACACAGCAATTACAGGACTTGGACAGTGGAACTGAACAAGAAATTATGTCTGTTTATAGAATTAAAGAGAAAGTATTAGCACAAAAAACGAAGCAACTTAAACAACTTACATTGAAAGAAATGTTTAATAAAGTAAACAAATATTAAGTTTTTTTGTGTAAATTTTGATACCCTTTAGATCATAATTGCTCTTTATTTCATAAATTACAGTTTCATATTTTTAATTTTATTATTTCTGCATGCCATCTTACCAGATTTAAATTGATGATCTATAATCCGGAAAACCCCTAATCCGGAATTGCCGAAGTCCCAACAAGTCCGGAGTAAAGACTTTGTACTGTAATTTTAAAAAAATTTCATTCTAATTAGAAATTATCTGGAAATACAAACAATATGTTAGGAAAAGAGCATATTTTATTCTATAAAAATTAAATCATTTTATTCCAATAAGAAGTGTAATTTATTTATTTAGATCTATAATTAAAAATTTTAAATATGAGGGCATTTCGAAAAGTAAAGATACACCGTACGCCAGAGGTAAAGAAAAGTTTTGGTGAGCAAGTTGGCAACACAGATGTTAACCTTGAACCCTTAGCTTTCTCCTCGCGGTCGTTTGGCATTTCAATGTTGATTCTGGTTGGAGTAGGTCGTGTTTAAAATGGCTGCGCCGATTCAGAATCCCGCCAAATGCGAAGTGCGCTCCGTCATAAGTTTTCTTCATGCAAAAAGTCAGTGACCAGCAGATATTCACAAAGAAATTGTTTCTGTTTATTTGAACATTATGAATCGACAAAATGTAACGAAATGGCGTCGTCATTTCTTTGAAGGTAGGACCGATGTTCATGATGAACTCGGCCATCTGTGAACTCTGATGTCCTTCTTCAGAGAACAGAGGAAGCAATTCGTGCGAATAGGCGTCTCAAATTGAAAGAATTGCATCAGATCATACCGGAATTGTCAATGACAACTCTTTATGAAGTTTTTACTGTCAAGTTAGGGTACAGGAAATTGTGTGCGTGCTGGGTTCCAACAGGCGGCAACCTTCTATGACTGTGGGATACAAAAGCTTGTGCACCGACTTAACAAATGTTTGGATAACGGGGGTGATTATGTCGAAAAACAATAAATAATCCAGTTAATAAAATGTAACTGACGTTTTCTAAATAATTTTTTTTTTAAGGAATGCGAGCCATTGTATCTTTACTTTTCGAAATGCCCTCATAATTTTTTAATTTATAATTATATGTAAATACACATGGGATAATGTGAGCCATAAGTATGGAAATGGAGCATATATTGTACTGTAATTTTCTTTTATAAAAATAAAATTATCTTATTCTAATTACAAGTGTAATTAATTTAGTTAGAAAATAATTAAACAGCGAATTCTAAACATTTACTGACAAAGTCGTGTGATCATCAGCATGATTTATCTGCAAAATCGCAACACCCAACGCAAAGTATCAACCATATAAAAAGAAAATATCCCTTTCATTTTCCTATCTTACTTATTAACATGTGAGATAGCAACCTAAACACTCTTCCAACTGTTTGGCGCTTATCACGCAAGTTGGCAAATGCAATTTCTGGAACTTCGCCATGTGCCGGTTATCTGAGTATCCCCTAAAGCAAAATTAAGTACAAATATTAGCTGATTAAACATTAGTTGAATCTCTATAACAAATTAAGACAAAGGAGATACAAAAATTTTATTAGAAAAATAATACTGAATACTAGGGATGGGGCAATGAAATATGCCCAATTTTTCATTAATTTATTACATTTTATATATTACTATAAAACACTTTCAATAGTAAAGGCTAAATTAAAAAAACCCGGAGATTTGGAAACTGACCTGAAGATGGAATGAAAAAACATACACGAATTTGGCAGTTATGTCCAATATATAAATAATCTCTTCACAAAAATTTATATAAAAAGAAGCATACCTTTTCCTGAAATATAGGCCTCAGTAAGTCGTTCAACTAGATCTGGTTTATTACCATTTGTCGGTAAGGAACACGCTTTTAACATCCTCTTTAAATCGATCACCTACAAAATATTTAACATAAAGCAGCAGCTTAATAATTTAACAAATAAAGAAGGTTAATAACATATGCTATATTTCTACTGTAAACATAAAATAAGAAATCAAATTACCTTGCTAAAAACCTTTTCCCTTTTAAACATTTTTTATTTTGCAGTTACTTTTCTAGGAAAAAGATTTTAGCATGTTTTGAAAATTAAAAATCAGATGGCATCACGTGAAGGTTTGCTAAATCTCTACAATTTTTAAAAAAATGTTTATTATAGGAGATGAAATAATTTTTAAAGTTCATTATTTTGACTTTTCAATAATTTTTCTATCCTCTAAAACACAGCAACCCTTGTAACAGCATTATATGAGAGCAATGAAAAGCAAAACCGGTTGATCTTTGAATTATGGTAACTTGGCGATTTTTTGGCGACCAACTCTGCTACAGCAAACCTCTATCGCCGCCATTTTGTCTTCATGAAGTAAAGACATGTTTCTTTTCTTTTTATTTACTCAACACTTTTTCCAACAATCTACTAGCCTAATTACACTTATGCTAGAAATTTTATGTAACAAAACTGCTTAATCATGACAAATATTAACTGCAAAATTGGGAAAAAGTGCACAATACCATACTCCTTACGCGTTTTTCAAAATAACACACACATAAACCATGTACACACAGACTTATTTTTACTTAAAAAAAATATCCCAGAATTGCACAAAAATGGCATTGCACACACTCTTAATTTTATCCATCTACACTGTTATTTTCTCATAAATTGCAAAAATTTGCACGAAAATTCAGGAAAATTTTGTGAATCTTTAACCCGGGAGAAGTCGCACGGGGCACAAAGTCACCCCATGCGTCAAAAATCAGCAATCCTAACCGGAAATATTTCATTTTAATGAATCATCCTTTTAGTATCCTCCTGTTTGACACTCCCCTTGGAATGTGTATTGTTATTTTTGCTTGTTTTTCTTTTCTGCGAGAGATGCAATCGTTTCTTGGAATCCATGAGGGAATGGGGTGACCGAGTCAACTCGTGCGACCGTTACTGCTTCGAAATTTTTCATTAGTAGAAGTTTAGCTTCGTGCTCTCGAGTGTTGCCATTGTGGTTCTGTTGGATTATTTGACAGATAATGGTTTACAAACATAAATTTACCAAAAATGAAAAAGAGATGGAACGTTTGAGAACTGTATTAGATGAAGTTGAGTCTTCTGAAGGAGAAATTGATCAAGATAATAAAAATGAATCTGATAAAAAGGTTTTATTAAAATATTTATTTTACCTTGTACCTTGCTGTGAAATATAAGTATGATTTTAAAGATCCTGAAACAGAAAGAAGAAAAGTTTATCGGACACGCAATCAAGATTCTGAAGAAGATTAGGTAAGTTAGTATTTTTAATTATTTGAGGATATTATTTTTATGCATTGTTTCTAAATGTAAGGTAGAAAGGAATTTGGTATTATTGGGAAAATTGTTATTAGCAATGATTTAGTTTAAAGTAATTAGGATTGTACGGTAATTTTTATTAATTTAATGTATGTGCTCATTTATATTTTAAGTAGTGTTTTTGAATTTAATTATATTTTAATGAAATGATAGTTATTTTGTGAATTTTATGTTTGTAGGAATTTGGTATACGTTTTAGTTGAAGTAAACGTGCATGGAAATAATTTAAATATCTGACACTAAGTATTTGTAATGGTTGCGGCATGAATTCGTTGGTGACGTTTATAATATAATAGATGATTTAGAGGTAGAAGTTTTTGGATATTTTATTTATTTTATATGTGGAAATGTTCATATTTGGAAAGGGTAAATACTTTTTCGCGATCAGGTAATTTCATATATGTTCTTTTTATCGGGTTTAAAGATTGAGAAAATTGTCATGTATTTTCGTGAAATTTTTCTAATTTATGAGAAAAAAGCAGTGTACATGTATATAGTGAAGAGTGTGCACAATGCCATTTTTGTGCAATTCCGGGATTTTTTTTAAGTAAAAATAAGTCGGCATGTACATGGTTTATGTGTATGTGTTATTTTGAAAAATGCGTAAGGAGTATGGTATTGTGCACTTTTTCCCAATTTTGCAGTGAATATTTGTCATGATTAAGCAGTTTTGGGTTGATCTTTACATTATGGTAACTTGGCGATTTTTTGGCGAAAATTTGGCAACGAACTCTCCTACAGCAACCCTATATTTTTTTTCCCCCGCCGCCATTTTGTCTTCACGAAGTAAAGACATGTTTCTTTTCTTTTTCTCTACTGAACACTTCTTCCAACAATCTACTAGCCGAATTACAATTATGCTAGAAATTTTATCAAACAAAACTGGGTTGATCTTTACAATATGGTAACAGGTAGTTTGGCGACATTTTGGAGGCGATAAAGGTTACTACCTGGGACTTTGGTACTCAGTTCCGATTACGCATTATTTTGCGTGAGGGAAATGAGAGATCATGGGATATGTCATGTGATATTAATGGACGAATTACGGTTCTTTAAACGGAAAAATGGGGAAATCGGGAAAAAATGTGGAAATTTTGTATTTAGCTTTATTCTGTCTTGTGTGAAACAGTGTTGTTTAATTTTTGGATCCCACGGCCCTAACTAAAGTAAATTCGAAATGGGTATTTAGGCATTGTGATAAAGAGAAGTTTGCTTTTTATTTAGCGGAGGAAGTATGGAGGAAAAATTCGCAGAAAAAATCTTTCAATAATTTTATTGAATGAATTAGAAAAGTGTATCCGCCACGTAATCAAGATTCTGAAGAAGATTAGGTAAGTTAGTATTTTTAATTATTTGAGGATATTTTTATGCATTGTTCTAAATGTAAGGTGGAAGTAAAGTAATTTGGTATTATTGGGAAAATTGTTATTAGCAATGATTTAGTTTAAAGTAATTAGAATTGTAAGCTAATTTTTATTAATTTAATGTATGTGCTTATTTATATTTTAAGTAGTGTTTTTGAATTTAATTATATTTTAATTAAATGATAGTTATTTTGTGAATTTTATGTTTGTAGGAATTTGGTATACGTTTTAGTTGAAGTAAACGTACATGGAAATAATTTAAATATTTGACACTAAGTATTTGTAATGGTTGCGGTATGAATTCGTTGGTGATGTTTATAATATAATAGATAATTTAGAGATAAAAGTTTTTGGATACTTTATTTTATTTTATACGCGGAAATGTTCATATTTGTAAAGGGTAAATACTTTTTCGCGATCAGATAATTTCATATATGTTCTTTTTACCGGGTTTAAAGATTGAGAAAATTGTCATGTATTTTCATGAAATTTTTCTAATTTATGAGAAAAAAGCAGTGTACATGGATATAGTGAAGAGTGTGCGCAATGCCATTTTTGTGCAATTCTGGGATGTTTTTTTAAGTAAAAATAAGTCGACGTGTACATGGTTTAGTGATATTTTAATTAAATGATAGTTATTTTGTGAATTTTATGTTTGTAGGAATTTGGTATACGTTTAAGTTGAAATAAACGTGCAGGGAAATAATTTAAATATTTTATACTAAGTATTTGTAATGCTTGCGGTATGAATTCGTTGGTGACGTGTATAATGTAATAGATGATTTAGAGGTAAAAGTTTTTGGATATTTTTTTTATTTTATATGTGGAAATGTTCATATTTGTAAAGGGTAAATACTTTTTCGCGATCAGGTAATTTCATATATGTTCTTTTTACCGGATTTAAAGATTGAGAAAATTATCATGTATTTTCGTGAAATTTTTCTAATTTATGAGAAAAAAGCAGTGTACATGGATATAGTGAAGAGTGTGCGTGATGCCATTTTTGTGCAGTTCTGGGATGTTTTTTTAAGTAAAAATAAGTCGGTGTGTACATGGTTTATGTGTATGTGTTATTTTGAAAAACGCGTAAGGAGTATGGTATTGTGCACTTTTTCCCAATTTTGCAGTGAATATTTGTCATGATTAAGCAGTTTGTTTGTTTGATAAATTTCTAGCATAAGTGTAATTCGGCTAGTAGATTGTTGGAAGAAGTGTTCAGTAGATAAAAAGAAAAGAAACATGTCTTTACTTCGTGAAGACAAAATGGCGGCGGCAAAAAAAAATAGAGGGTTGCTGTAGGAGAGTTGGTTGCCAAATTTTCGCCAAAAAATCGCCAAGTTACCATAATGTAAAGATCAACCACATCTTTATTTCTATCTCGCACAACCTTAAACAAACATTTATTACTACCCTTTTCAATACCACTAATTACCCATTTCGAATTCATTTTAGTTACGGCCATGGGATCCAAAAATTAACCAACACTGTTTCACACAACACAAAATAAAGCCAAATACAAAATTTCCACATTTTTTCCCGATTTCACCCCCTTTTCCGATTAAAGAACCGTAATTCGTCCATTAATATCACATGACATATCCCATGATCTCTCGTTTCCCTCGCACAAAATAATGCGTAATCGGAACTGAGTACTGCTCACATTATTACCAAAGTCCAAGATAGTAATCTTCACATTATTACCAAAGTCCCAGATAGTAATCTTTATCGCCTCCAAACTACCAGTTACCATATTGTAAAGATCAACGGATAAAAGAAATATACAGTTCTCACAACAGCGAAAGATAATTTGAGCAGAATGATGAAGATCACAGAAATGATGATTTAGTAAAAGGTATTTTTATTAGCAAAAATAAGAGTTTGGCTGAATGGAAAACCAAATAAAAAAGAGAAAAAAGGTCTCAAATTATAATAACTCGGTTAGCAGGATTAAAAGAAACTGCACGCAATATAAAGGAGCTTCTAGAAAGTTGAGAATTGTTTTTCTATGCTAAAATGATACAATCCATTGTAGAGTGTACAAATATTTATATTGGAAAAATATTACGACAAATGATGTGGAAATTAGAGCACTTTTTGGGCTTTTACATCTGTACGGCTTGCATAAATCGTCACGTAAAAATACGCAAGATTTGTGGGCTACTGAAAATTGAAACAGGCATTGCAATTTTACGG